CACTTCCAACAATAGTCAAAACAAAAGAACAGGAGGATAGGATGCAGTGCAGAACCAACATTGACCACATCCTGAAGGGACATGGCACATAGAAGATGAAGAAGAAGAAGAGATGAAGAATAAGAATACTATGACAAAAACAATATGTGCTTTCATATTACAGATTGTAATATATTTTTGAAGACTCTGTCTATATTTCTTGAGTTGAGGTATTATGTACATTATTCGGACTATATACATCTTTGTCGCCATATTTATCACAACATTTTCAGGTAGATGGAATGTCGAACTGAACCCTTTATTTTGCTCACTGGGGGAGACTGTTCTAGTTCCATGTTTGATGGATGTCAGTTATCAGTTATATCCTGTTAATTTTCTTCTGAAAGTTCTCCACTGCCTTAACCAGGTATTGAACTCACACTCTGTCACTGGACCTAACCAACACCTTTATCCACTGTGCCATGTGTCTTGAGGACATTTGGGTATGAATTTCTGGGTATTATAAATGTCTTCAGCAACCATTTTCACTAGTGCTCATATTGCAATTTTGCTGTTATCATTTCATGTTTTTTACCAGAGCTCATATTGCAACTATGTAACTGGTAAAAAACATGAACAAGATAAAATAGTGATGTAATCAAACTGTTAGCTTTCCACTCTACCAAAAAAAAAAAAAGGTTTGAAGTGTATTTCTATAACTTTTTAGAAAAAGCTATAACATTTAGTAGACCTGAAAAGTTTAATTTCCTGAAAAACTGTTTTAAGAAAAAGATTTTATGAAATTCAGCCAACAGCAGCATATGTTCACTCAGTTATGTGTCATGCATGATACACACTTAGGCAATCATGTATCTTTTGATACATGACTGATGAGGCAGATTTTTTCCCACAGTAGTTTGCAATTTCTTTCTGCAATAGACCAGTTGCCATCCAAGGCTATAGAACCTGGTCTGTCCTGCTATTTACCCATAGCTAGCATTTTGGAAGAGGATTCATACCTTTCCCAAGGGCATTAGCACATAAGTGAATGTACGGCTTCAACTGGAATTCAAACTTGGCTCTCCAATTCCTCAATTCGAGCCACTATCCATTACTCCACCAGTGAGTCAATAATTGCTTGATACTTACTGTATGAAAACAGTTAATTTTTCTCATTATAATTAACATTAGCACAAAAATAAACACAAGAGAATTTGAACTCAGCTTGCCAATTCTACTTTCTGTGCTGATAACTATTAACCATTTGAGCCCTGACTAGTGCTTTTCTGATGGTAGAGAAAAATGACAATGCCCAGCCACCGGTTGAACGGTGGGTAAGCACTTGCATTGATTTTTGCTATTCTTGTGCATCAAGAGAGGCAGAAAATCTTGGGTAAACTGGTACACAAAGAAAGAATTCTGGTAATAAAGTAAAGGCATGCATTTATACTCTCTCCCTACTAAGTATAATGCTTATATTGTAACATTTTTATATCTACCGTGAAACATTACATACCAATTATTTGCGAATTTTGACTCAGGAGCTCAGACAGAAGGGTTAAAATTGTTGAGAAACACCGGGATCAAAGGGTTAAGCAGCATATACATCTTGTTAATATGTAATGATAACTAAAAATATTGTTATTATATTCTCTGTTAATTCAATTTCTTTAGCAATACTGTTATAATAATTAATACTTAAATAATTAACTCTATGTAATAATTATAATAATTTTAATTTATATTATACCAACATAAACCTTCACTACATGAGTTTTTTTTTTTTTATAAGCTCCTTATTTATAAGCAACTGTACTCAAATTTGTCTAGAACCTGAGAGACTTCACTTCTGACCTCAATGTGGATTCTTCCTCTATGTGTTATCTCACTTCAGAACACTGACAGTCATAGCTCTCTACAATTTCCTGTCCTTTGTAGCTCTTAATGAATTTTGTTTTTTTTTTATCTCTCCTAAACCTTGCTCCACTGTTATATGACTAGAAAAAGAAGTGAAAATGGAATGTCACTTACCTCGTGGTGGAGAAGAAGAGGAAGCAGCAACAGGGGATTTATATTATAGAAAGATATTACAACAAACCAGGGAAAGAAATGAATTGTAGGAAAGAAAACTGTTAAGGAAAGATTCCATGGGTCACTGCTTGTTGAATAAAAAAAATGAGAGAAAAGATTTTTGCATGTTCAAATAAAATGATGATATTTATTTAAACGTAAGATACACAAATTTAAACTGTAATTACTTATCATGAAATGAAAGTTAGAAAGTTCTTCTCTTTGCCTGTAAGGAAATGAACATAAATAGTCTTTCAGTGAGGAAGAGAGAAAGTGAAGTTGGTAGACAAGATCAAAGATAGTCCACTGTTGCTTTGATGAGAAAGACAATACACTGAGGTTGACCATTTTCTCTTTACTGCTGTCAATCCTTCTGCTGAGTTGAATGAATGTTTGGTTTTTATAGCCTCATGTAGGCTCCAGAAGCATGTGTTTATTTATCAGCATGAGTTGATTTTATTGCTTATTTTTTTATTAAATTAAAAATTTGAAGTGTGTTTGAAACCTGGAAAACTGTGTGGAGGCCTTGTGCAGTGTGCTTATTTTTGTCATTTGCTTCTTTGATTTGATAACGTTCTCTTCTGCTTACTCTATAAAATTCAGTTGAAAATAAGAGTTGGAGATTTTGTACATTCAGTACAAGAAAGGTGGCAAGAGAGGAAGAAGGAGATTTGAGAGTAAGGAAGGACATGAGAGATCCTGGGAGAAGCTTTTTTATTTTTAAGCTTTCAAACCATATCCACCATCAATTTACTCAAGCTACCTAAGTTATACATTGTTTTCCTCTGTTCTTTTTCTCTTCAATCTCTCTTGTGAGTATCAAATTTCCCAACCCCTTTTTCCTCATTATGTACCCTAGAAATTCCAACTCTCTCTTCCTGATGTTAAGGATAATTACCCTTTTTGTTTCCATTTTCTATAAAACTTTGTCATTGCTAACAAGTTCAATCAATAGTATCCTCAGCATCCTTCTGTAGAACCATATTTCTGTTGATTTAAGTCTCTTCTTCACCTCTGCCGAGATTGTTCAGCATTCACTGCCTTGTAGGAGGACTGATATTATATAAGAGTTCAGTACTCTTCTTTGTTTCTAATGAAATTTTTCTATTTCTTAATATTTTAACAAAAGACAAAATGCAAAACTTAAGCAAAATGAGTTACTAAATACATTATTTTATACTTATTCAAGATTTCTACCAATTCTACTAGTTTAGTTATAGTGAAATGTCTTTCTTTTCTATTTATTAGACACCAGTTACTGAAATGGCTGTTTAAAGTTTCTATAACTTTAAACAACCATTTCAGTAACTTGTGTACTAATTCTTACACAAAAATTAAACAGCCTGATTATTGGTCAAAATCTTAAGTTACTACTTTTTGGTTATTTTTTAATCATTTCACCCCAAGCAAGGCAATAAAGCCACTAAGATGTAATGGACTACTGAGAATGAAAGAAACTGGGAAAACATTAATGTGAAAAAAGAACAATAAAAGAACTGGAAATGTAAAACCATATCACATAGCAGAATGGTGTCATCTGAATGTAAAACTTTTGTAACCTAGAAATGGTTTACTGAATGAAGAATAACCAAAATGGAGGTTGGAAATGAAATGGTAATCTTTATAGCATCAACAAAATACAATACTCACCAGTGGCATAAAATAGGTAAACCACTGCTAGTGGTGGACTACTTAGATAGCATATTACCCCCACTTACAATAGTGTCCAACATATTTATAAGGTTTGGGATATACCCATTAGTGTTCATAGGTATGGTATATAACAAAAACCATATCTCATTCAGAATATTGTCATCTGAAAACATCTTTCAGTGAAAAGTACAAATATATCTAGTATGCCAGCAACATTTTGATTTTAATTTTGAGTTGAGTGTAGGCTTTCATATACAAAACTATCCAATACATAACATTTTGAGAGGTGTTTTTTAAAGAAAAAATAATTTGTAATATTATTTCACCCCAAGCAAGGCAATAAAGCCACTAAGATGCAATGGGAGTTGCTGAGAGTGAAAGAAACTGAGAAAACATTAATCAAAGAACAGGATTCAAAGAAACAGGTGACGATGAATGATGCAGCATTTAAATTTTTGAAGATAAAAGTTGATCAGAAAGGTCAGAAATGGCATTATGCTATTTTCCACAGAGCAATTTAAAAAACACATACACACACGCACACACATATTTTACATAGATAAAGCTCTTTGTAAAGTCTGGCTTGTACTCTTGAGAACAGTTTTTTATATTTCTTTAAGGTATAGGCTACCAGGAATCCCTTCAATGAGTCTACTGGAATCTGTTTCAATCAATCCGAGGGCTCTAACTGCAACAGGAATTGTTGATGTTCCCATGTGCCACATTTTTGAGATTTCAGTTTCAAGGTCCTTGTATTTTGATAGCTTTTTGAAGATCTTCTTCATTTTATTATAATTATTATTATTATTTTACTGTTTAATCATATGAATAGCAACAAGATAATTATCTCTAATACACATAGATTTGAAATAGTTGCCTAAATTCAAACATAGTTAAAAATCAAAAAAGTGGAGAAGCTGCTTGACAATGAATAATTTTGGTAGACTTATTGTTAGCTAAATCTTAAGAAAAAAGTATGAAACAAACAAACTGCCATCATTTTACCTCAATTTGGATCAGTAATAAAAAAGCAAGATTCAGGTACAGTCCTTTGTTGCAAGGTTCAGGCAAGAGCCTTAATCTAAAAATGTTTTTTTTTTAATATTCCTTTGCAGGGAGACAAAAGCTGAGCAGCTTGGCCATCTGCTTCTCAGAAGGAAGCTCTAACAGAAGACCTATGAATACAAAATTTTATTGCTAACCACCCAATTTGCTGGTCCATGGCACATGAACATCTGGTTTAATGAATGAATTAAGTAATGACTTTGCAACTCTCTATCTTAAAACTTTAAGCACAG